TCACACCTCCCAAGTCCTCTTCTTTCTCCTCCTCGTCTGGCTCAGGAGGGGGAACCCCCCAAAGCCGCAGTGGCAGAGCTGGAGCTGAAGCACACAGCGGTACCTTGTCAGCGTAGTCACAACGGAAGGTGAACGCAAAGTGCAGAACTCCCCTTGCTCCCCTTGCATTTGAAACAAGACTTTCTCGTTGACACCTGCCCTGAGTGATTGTGCCCAGCTCCGTTCTGCCGTCTGGGGAGTCTGGCGGCAGGGGGGCGAGAGAATGTTACACACGTGCATGGGGCAAAGGCACTGAGTACAGGCACTCGACGGGCCGTGCGGATTTCAGCTGAGCTCTCGCTCACGAGAGGCACAGAGACCACAGCGGCTGCTGGTGTCCCGAAGCCAGTTTCCTGCAGTGGTGCCAGCCGAGCTCATCACAGACTGGTGTGGGACGGGATCCTACTGAGGAGGAAGAAATCGGGCTGCCATCCCTAGAGTCCTTCGGGAGAGGATTGCAGAGTCTCTCCGTGAACATTTCACCGAGAGCTCGCGGGAGGAGGCAAGGAACATCCCTCAGCACATCAATAAGCTGCTCCGCCTGCCACCCTTGCCTAACTCTACAGGGCAGATACCACCTCTCCCTCTGGTCGGCGTGCTGCTGTCTCCTCTCGTACGAGTAAATGAGTGAGAAGTCGATGGCTGTGTCCTTTCACAGTGCGCTCCGTCACCACCACTGCATTTAAACTGTCCTAAGACATGCATTCCTGTTCCTTCCCATGCATCAGGCGCATCCAGGCGGGAGTGACTGGCCTGGGGGAGTCTCAGACGGGTCTTGTCTCGTGGCGTAGCAGGACCCACCAGTTGCATGTCCCTCCTTGTCTTCTCCGTTCGCTGCAGTGGTCTGGCTCCGGCTCTTGGAGGCATCCATGGTGGTGTGCGGGGGGGTGGGAGTGTCTCTGCTGAGGGTGGCATGCAGCTCTTCATATAAGCAGCAGGTCTGTGGCTTGGCACCGGATCGGTTGTTGGCCTCCCTGGCTGACTGCTACACCCACC